CCACCTGGCCATGCCGGGCCAACCTGCATAAGTTGTCGGGATTGTTTCTAAACTATCAGTGAATTTAAATACCAAGTATAAAAATATTTCTAAAGTTTAAATGCTGTCTTAATCGTATGAGTAGATGATGTATAATGCTCGTGGATATGGCTTACAAAATCTGATTGTCTTTTATGTTTTCTTTGTCAGTGGGTGGAAGAAAGCTTCACCAATTTTGAGCAAGGAATTAACTGGAGATCCTTCGTGGTATGTGACGTAGCGTACAGTAACGTGAATAACTGGCTCTGGACACCATTTGTGGAGCGAAGGGAGGCCAGTAGAATATACATCGAGATCAAGTTCAGTATGAGGGACTGCAATCTGTTCCCTGGAATGGCGCTTTCTTGCAAAGAAACTTTTTCTCTTCTTTACTATGAGTTTGATGCAGCGACTAAGGAGCCCCCACCGTGGGAACCAGACTCCTATAAGCTCGTGGACCGTATCGCAGCAGACGAAGGTCGTTTCACTTCCACCAGTGAGGTCATCATCAATACCGAAATTCGCAGTGTTCCAGTCACAAAAAAGGGGGTGTATTTCGCCTTCCGCGACCAGGGGGCTTGTTTATCGCTGATAGCCATCAAAGTTTACTACATGATTTGCCCAAATATCACAGTCAACTTCGCCTTCTTTCCAGACAGCCCCACAGGTCGAGAGGTTACAGAGATCTTGGAGGTGGAAGGTCAGTGTGAACCAAACTCTGATATCGTGGACCAGCCCAAGATGCTCTGTAAAGGAGACGGAAACTGGACACTGCCCTCTGGTGGATGCAAATGCAAAGCCGGGTATGAACCGATGAACCAGAATTGTCAAGGTAACTAATAATTTAGTTTTGTAGTCTTAAACTCTCATCTTGGTTTCTGTCACGGCATTTCTACGTTTACGTCTCTGTTCAAAGTGTAAGATAGATATAAAGATGAATGTGAAATTATAAAATTACCACAATAGCGGTCTGATATTATTTCAGTTAATCAAAGTGAACTTAGAACTTGTTTAACACTTTATAAATCAAGTAAACAGAAACATCTAGTGAATTAACCAATTGAATAGAAACATTTAGTGAATTAACCAATTGAACAGAAACGTCTACTGAATTAACCAATTGAACAGAAACATCTAGTGAATTAACCAATTGAACAGAAACGTCTACTGAATTAACCAATTGAACAGAAACATCTAGTGAATTGACCAATTTAATAGAAACATCTAGTGAATTAACCAATTGAACAGAAACATCTAGTGAATTAACCAATTGAATAGAAACATCTAGTGAATTAACCAATTGAACAGAAACATCTAGTGAATTAACCAATTCAAGAGCAACATCTAGTGAATTAACCAATTGAACAGAAACATCTAGTGAATTAACCAATTGAACAGAAACATCTAGTGAATTAACCAATTGAATAGAAACATCTAGTGAATTGACCAGTTGAACAGAAACATCTAGTGAATTAACCAATTGGACAGAAACATCTAGTGAATTAACCAGTTGAACAGAAACATCTAGTGAATTAACCAATTGGACAGAAATATCTAGTGAATTAACCAATTGAATAGAAACATCTAGTGAATTAACCAGTTGAACAGAAACATCTAGTGAATTAACCAGTTGAACAGAAACATCTAGTGAATTAACCAATTG